TTGTTTTTGCAGTTGGATGGTTGTCCAACACATTTTGCTGTTACTGTGTGAGAGCATATTAATGCAATATTTCAACAGCGGTGGACTGGAAGAGGAAGTCTGTTTCCATGATCAACCAGAGAAGATTATGTGAAAACGCATTCGTAATGCAATATGTAACACACCGAGAGCCGAAACTGAGGCAGCTGTTTTGTCTACCCATGAGAGGCTTCAGGAATGCATAGGGTGTGATGGTCAGCATTTTGAGCATTTATTGGGGCAAACTTTTCTTTTTTTAATTTAGTCGTTTTTAGGACCATAATAAAAAGAAATTCCAGAAAAATCAGTTTAAAAAAATAAAAATTTAAGGGGTCCGCTGCATTAACATTTGGAGAACATTTTTAAGAATTAATAAGTATGGTTTAAATGCAGAACAGATTTGCAACAGCGACGAATCGGCCCTAAACTGTAAAATGTTACCGGCGAAAGGTTTAGCTTCAAAACAAGAATCTGGAGCTTCTGGTTACAAACAAACTTCCTTTGTTGTTAGTCGGAAAATCAGCTAAACCAAAAGCATTTAAACATGTCCGTCCCAATGTTCTTCTAGTGTGGTATAAAAATAAAAAACGCCTGGATGGATCCGCGCTATTTAAGGACTAGTTTTACAATCATTTTGTTCCCAAGACAGATCGTTATTTGAATGAACGCGGATATTCGAGAAAATGTATTTTGCTACTAGACAATGCTCCGAGCCACCCAAGTGAGGAGCAACTTAAAAGTGGAGAAATACGAGTGATGTTTTTGCCTCCTAATGTAGCGTCACTGATTCAGCCAATGGATCAAGGAGTTTTAGAAAATTTAAAACGCAACTACAGACGTTTGTTATTAGAACAAATTTTAGATCAAGTTGATAATGGTTCGAACCGCCTTGATTGTTTAAAAGACAAGCATGGAGACAAGTAAAAAATTCTACTTTACAAAAATCTTGGTCGACAATAATTAAGCAAGAAATGGATCCTTACGCAGATTTTTTTTATACTCCAACTACCACGAAGGCCTAAGGCCTAAACACTCATTGGGTACCGTGCGACTATGGGGGATACAGGGGAAAGGGGGAGCACGTGCGCATGCAACATGCACACATTCTGGCTCCGCCTACGACATCCGCCGGGTGGTACCCCCGCGTTCGACAGTCAGAGCCGTCTACCACCTACGGACAATCACAACATCCATAGCCAAGAGAAAAATTTCTCTTGGGACGGGATTCGAACCCGCACGGCGGAGACTATGAGAATAACAATGAAAATTTATATAAGCTCGTCGTAAAAATAGCAGGGTGTGAAAATATTACCCAAGCAGATGTTGGTGAGTGGATTAATGGTGATGAATTGGAGGAAGTAATAACTGATACAGAACTAATAAAACTGTTTGTAACAAAGGCGATGAGACAGTTTTAAGTGATGCTAATGACAATGAGACAGAAATCTCTGCCAAAATATCACATTCTGAAGGATTAGAAGCTCTACAAAAGGCGTTGACTTAAGCCGAACAACAAGAAAATGCGTCACCAGCTAATATGCTACTTATCAAACGTTGGAGGGATGTTTCTGCCAAAAATAGGAACAATGCAAAACGTGTACAGTTAAAAATTACTTCCTTTGTTACTATATACTCGTAAATATGTATGTTTGTATCCACATGATAATATTTTACGTAAGTTTAAATAGGTATATACTCATTTAACACACGCATATACTTTTTTCAATAAAAGCATTATGAGTCTAAATATTTATTTCCGTTTTATCCGAAATTTCGATTACCCTAAAGCACTGGGGCACGTGGATAATCGGGGTTCTACTGTAATTTGGTATGCATTGTGTAATATTTCCCACTAACGAATCTATCACTGAAAATAGGATGCACCCAATACTCTCTTGTTGAGTTTTCTTCTCTATCGTATGACGGCAATAATAACATATCTGGTCAATATTGAATTTATTTCCATTATGCGACCTCTTACTTCGACAGTTAGATATGGGGTTGTCCAAAACGGACGCAGGAAAGTAAACGCATACTAAAACAAGAAAGATTGATATTCAAATCAAGTTGGGTACTTTATTTTGAAGGTTCATTTATACCATTTATGTATGAAAAATAATATCGCTCAAATGTTCACCACGACTGGATTTACAGACGTCCACGCGATGGTCGAAATTTTCAATGACATTTTGCAACATGGTCGGTTCTATGGCATTTATCTCGGCAATGATGTTGTTTTTGAGTTCTTGGAGGGTGGCTGGTTTGTTGTCGTAGACTTTGCTTTTCAAATATCCCCATAAAAAGAAGTCCAAGGGAGTCAAATCGCACGAAATCACGCGATCACCGAAGAAGGACTGCAATCGATGGATAATGACGTTGGTTGTGTGGCATGTTGCACCGTCTTGTTGGAAATAAACATCGTCCATATCCATTCCTTCAAGTTGCGGCAAAAAATAGTGCTCTATCATCACGTGATATTGCTCAGAATTGACGGTAACGGCGTCCCCGGCCGCATTTTCGAAAAAGTAAGGTCCGATGATGCCTTTTGACCACAATGCACACCACACAGTCACTTTTTGAGGATGCATCGGCTGCTCTTGATACACACGGGGATTTTCGTTCGCCCAGATGCGGCAGTTTTGCTTGTTTACCGTCCCATTCAAAGTGAAATACGCTTCGTCTCTGAACATGATTTTTGATGAAAAATTGGCATCAATTTGGCGGTGTTCAAGGAGCCAATCTGAGAACATTCGGCGCGAAAAATGGTCTGCCCGACGCAGCTCTTGCGTCAATTGGATCTTGTAGGCGAGTACAGTCAAATCCTTGTGGTTCTCGAAATGCCCAATTCTTGGGATCGACGCGTTGATGATTGTATCGGATCGTCTCTCACAGTCTCCTTCACAACAGCAATATTTTCCGGTGTGCGAACGCTCCTTGGCCGGCCAGAGCCTGGCAGATTTGCCACAGAACCTGTTGCCTCGAATTTACGCACCAGACGACCGATGGTTGTTTCGTTTGGGCGGTTGTTGCGACCGAAATGTTCACGAAGCGCGCGAAACGTGTTTTTTATTTTTGCACCATTTTTGTAGTGCTCTTGAATAACTTTAATCCGGTCTTCAATCGAATACGACTCCATAGCGATCAATGGTAGACATTCAACTAACAAAAGGACATGTCGGTGACAGAAAACAAGATGGCGTCTATGTCAAATTGACGTTTACTTTCCTGCGTCCCTATTGGACAACCTGTCTAGTTGACTCGATGTGCCCACTAGCAGCCCAATCAGACTAAGCCATATTGGGTGCCATACCTCTGTATAGAAGCAATTTCCTCTCAAACTCCTGCTTCTCTCTTGATGGTAGCTAATAATTTGTGACGGTATGTGTTTTGTTTATCAAGTTAAAAGCAGGTAAAAGAGGTCCTGAGACCCTTTCGGGGCCTCGACGGGGCGATTATCGTTAGTAGTCTAACATGGTCGACCTGTCCAAGCTTCGTAATTAATAAAATTCCTGATAATTTTGTTAAATCACGCATTACAACAAATATATTTTTAAATTAAAGTTTTACGCTTTAAGGTCTTAAAAAATTATAGTATACTTAGTGACATTAGAAGTGTTACACGGAGGAAACATAATTTCTTCAACTTGATTTTTTGTCAATGAGGTAGTCATATCATATGAAAACATAACATTCTCACGAAATTTTATTGACAAATTAATAATTTGTTGGGCGACCCCGCAGCTGAATACACTCCTGTATACGTCTAGGCAACGACAAAATGAGATGATCGATGTCTGGTTGTGGCACCACATTCCAAGCAACTCGAACTTCGTGGATTAGCTATGGCAGACTCTCTGGCGGATGGTGCAAAGTGGATAGTCTCCTCCCCACCATATCCCACACTTGTTCGATGCGATTTAAATCCAGTAAACGGGGTGGCCACGGCAAAACATTAACGCCTGCTTCTTGAGGGAAGTGCATGGCGCCGGCAACGTCTTACCCTTCTACGACCATCGTGGTTACCTAGACAGAATCGTAAACCGTCGCTGAAGATGACATTATGCCATTTTGCCTCCCAATCATGCCGTTCTCTGTTCCAGTTCAAACGTTCACGACAGTGTCCGGAGTCAGAGAAAGCACTATCCGTGGACGGTATGAAAAAAGTCCAAAGGCTCGAATGCGGCGATAGAGTTTACGGATAGTAACAGGTCTACCTTTTTCTCAAAACCATTGGTCAGCGATCTGACACGTAGTAGCAAGACGGTCTCGTAGGGCTAGTTGTCGGAAGTTGACGCTCTGTGGTACGCCTCGGTGGACCAGTTGGCCTTCTTCGTGTTCCTCTACCTTCTTCTATCCACACACGACACACACGCATTACCGTCATTGCAGTAGGTACAATAAACACGGCGGCCAACTTCGCGATAGGACTGACATCACTTTAGGCAATAATTCTACCCCTGTCAAAGTGGCTAACATGGTGATAATTTGGACGTCTTCGAAGAGGCATTTTGTTATGCTGAACACTAGTAAATGAAAGGGCAATAACTAAAAATATCTGTACTACTAAGCTCTCCGAAACAGCTTTCTTCACAAAAACTAAGAGATAATATTTTAACAAAGGTAAACAGAAACAAAGATAAAACGATGACATTGTTGCCACAGCATGCTTTAAATATAGTCATCATGTTGCCAAAACAACAAGTTGAAGAAACTATTTTTTCTGGGTGTAACACTTCCAATGTCACTAAGTATATTATTTCTTTTGGTCTGATAGAATATAAGACCTCCTTAAAAAAGTGTCAACTAGTCTATTGTAGAACAGTAGGGAGAAGGGGGGGTTGTGCTTGCAGGATTAGATTTTATTGAGACAAAGCTTTATGTTTCTCCTATTTTATTTTCAAAAAATCGCGAGCCTAACTAAATTCTCCTCAGATATAAACTAAAATCTTGACTATGCATATTTTGTGTATTATCAAACTCACCTGCCTCTTTTATATCCTTAACATATTTGAAGTTTGGATCACCTTCAAGAACGCTTCTTTTCTTGATTGTTTTGTTCGATGGACTCTTAGAAACGCCTAAGTGTTGTGTAGAACTCGTGTTATCGGGGACACTGTTTCCATTTCTGACATCAAAATCGACGTCGGAGTTGTTACTTGCATTGTACTCCAATAGTTCGAGATCAGTGGGAATGTGTGTTGTAATATTGTTTTGATCATGATGACCGTCGATTAGCTGGTATCTTGAATATTTCGCTCCTTCCACAGGAGGGGAAATGCTGAAACAAATTTTAAGAAGCTATTATGGAGGATAGCCTGTAAGAAATAGCGTCAAGTAAGTTGACACTGCATTTCCCGCGCAATGCTGACATCAGGTCATAAAGCATTACGAGCTAGCTACGAACACGTATAACACGAAGAAGTGAATGGCTCACGTCAGTCAAACAGGCCCATATATAGGGCGAGTCATAAGTCGTGACCAAAAATGAAAGATTATACACAGGACCGCATTTGAAGGGTAATCTTCTAGGTAACATTTTTTCTTCGAGGGCTTCATTAAAAAGATACGGGGTGTTGATGTTTAGGTAAAAATTAAAAACATTTTTTTTTAATATCTTCAAAACCGTTAACTGGAATGAACTAAAATTTGGTATGTGGATTTACCTAGTATTGTCCACATTCAAAAGTTACTTAAAATTAACGCACACCAGTGGCGGAGATACAGGGGATTAGTGGCATTAATTTTTCAATAAAAATAGTACGCTACTGTTTTTTGTTCGAAACGCGCAATTTTTCGAATTTTACTTCCAATTTGCTACAAATATTTACTTTTGTGTTTTTTCCTAAAGTGCACTGTTTTCGTAAAAATAAAAATAAAAATAAAACAAATTAGATAATTTGTGAAGAGCCGAGATACAATTAGTTTCAAAATAAAATACTAGGCCTTGATACCAACTTGACGTTTCTTAGGAGTTTTTTTTTTGTAAAAGTCAAGTCAAAAGTGTCTTTTTCCATTTTTGAGTGTTGTGAAATGGAATTTAGCAATGATGAGTACGCCGATATTATTTTTGTGTACGTGTTCTGTAATGGAAATGCTTTAGCGGCTTCTCGAGAGTATCATCGTAGATTTCCTAACAGACGACAATCTACCCCAAAGATTTTTACGCGTTCATTTCTAAGACTTCTGCAATATAGAATTGCCAAAATTCTCTGAGCTAGAGGACATGGTGGCCGACATGCTGTTCAAGAGGAACTGGAAGTGATTAATTTGGCGTTGGATGATCCTAGTACAAGTACTAGGCGTACTGCAGCCCAGTTACCATCTTCCCAAAGTCTTGCGTGGAGAATTTTAAATCGGGAAGTTTTACATCCTTACCATGTTGCAAAATGTTGAGATAAATTCTACTTTTTAACCCATTCCGAAGTGGAAATCGTCGAGCCACTGTGGGCGGTCTCTCTTCAAAGAAGTTTTTTTTTATATTCCAACTACCACGAAGGCCTAAGGCCTAAGCACCCATTGGGTACCGTGGGGCTATGGGGGATACATGGGAAAGGGGGGACGCCACACGGACTCTGCCGAGGGAACACGTGTGCATGCAACATGCACACATTCTGGCTCCGCCTACGAGAACCGCCGAGTGGTACCTCCGCGTTCGACAGTCAGAGACCATCTACCACCTACGGACAATCACAACATCCATAGCCAAGAGAAAAATTTCTCCTGGGACGGGACTCGAACCCGCACAGCGCACGGCGACTGATCAGGAGACCGAACAGTCTACTACTGCGGCCACCGCTGCTGCCAAAGAAGTGAGCAATATTTCTCGCATTCCATTGCTGTCAACAGTTTTGGTAATGAACTCTAGTGGTTTTTCATATCCATATGAATTGTAAAAAATTTATATATGTAGTCTGATCTCATATCTATGATCCGAAGACAATACAAAACATAAAATAGCAAAACATCTGATAGCATAGCATTAGAGGCTTGATAAGGCACTCTATGCTTACCTCAAATTTCTCTCGTAGTTCCACGCTGCAACTCTGGCTCCAAGATGCGGTTTTCCTTCCCACATGAATATGTAATAAATTGACAAAAAAATAGCTGCCATCGAGACGCTGAAGACGTAAGCCATGACCGTGAGAACTCTGATGATTTTGGGAGTGGGTTTCGGCTCAAACATAGCCTCCTGTTGCTTGGACATTGGAGGAGCATCAGGAGAATCCGGTGAACTATCTGGGTTGATATCTTCTTGGGACGACATTTTCAGGATACGTTAATTTTGAGACAACAGTTGATTCATGGCGAGAGGAGCATCTGGAAAAACCAAAAACAATTATAATTATAAATCAACTAGAGTACACAGGGTGTCCAAATGGTGTATCACTCAATATCTTCGTTAGTATTAGAGTTGCAGAACAAAAGTTAAATATAAAAGCTTTAGGCAGAGCTAAGGGCTACAACCTAAAATTATTTTTAGCTATACAGGGTGTCCCATAAATTAACAAAATGCCAAAATCGTTTTAAAGTTTTCCTGACTTGATTTGTTGTGGGATTTTAAGATAAATTGCACATTAACATTGCCACTGTTTCTCCTCTACCACATGGCGTAATTAGAATTTAAATATATCGCTTAACCTATTGTTCTCCACCATCAACTTTATTTTTTCATATGGTCGCCGCATTGGATTTTGGCACAGATAGATATAATTTTCAATTCTGATTCCAAAAATATGTCATACATTGACATTACACAAAACTAGAAGTTTCTAGGTAGGCCTTGAGATTATCGAATTTCATTTGTTTTGTATACCAGGCCAGACCTCAAACTGAACATGGCAACAGAGTTTGGAAGACTGAGGAAGAGGGAAATAAATCGAACAGTGAACAATGAACATAGAAGAGTCAGGTTTGGCGTACAAAATAACAGACAACATTTTGAACATCTGCTATGATTTACCACTGCTTATTTGTGATTATTATTGTTATTACCATCAATAAAATTCTCACCATAGCCTTATTTCTTTATAATTTTCATCCAACAACAAATTAATTCCGTTTCAAAGATACTGTTTTTTACGGAAAACTTTGAAATGTTCCCACCACTTTATTTTGAGAGATACAGCAAGAATTGTCAAGCGCAAATTTTACATTATCCTCGGCTTTAATGATCAGGTGGTTTTTGTTAGGTAAATATAGCGGAATTCACAGAAACATCACGTTTTCAGATTCAAGATTGATGTTACGCCCCCTAGCGGCTATTTCAGAAACTTGAAAATATTTTCCAAGTTTTTCTCTTGGCCGTTTTTGTAATAACTTTTTTACCACAAGCCTACGATGGATAGGTTCCCAGATTCAGTCAGTACCTCGCATTCTTAGTTGGCCACCCAGTACAATAGACCTTATATCTCGGAAAACAGCGTTATACCAGATACAATACGTAGGATGATATTCTACGAACCTTGGATAAAAAGTTGGCAGTGACCTTTATAAAAATACACTATTCAAATCATGAATTGTTATTAGAAAAATATAATAATTATATAGATCTTGATAAATTGTTTCAAAAATTATCTTCGGCACACGACTCAAAGTGTAACAGTAAACAAAGAAATGTCATCAACAGCATAAGTACCTTCAGGTGTGCCACAAGGTTCTATATTGCAACCATTATTGTTTTTAATATATAGTTTCGATTTAAGCAAAATTGCAAAAAATTCTCTCATTCAGACTTATGCAGACGACACCCAGTATTTTAAACCTGAAGAATCCTTAAATACTACTGAGATTATACAACGTAATAGTAATGACCTGATTAAATTTTTTACAAATTACAATTTCAAAATTAACCCTGAAAGATCCGAAATCCTTTTATTTTTTGGTGAAGAAAAGAAAAGCATTGTGCTTCCATACTTGAAAACTTCTACGAGCCCCTTCTCACTTCAGTTGGCCCACTTCAAGATTTGTACCAAAATATGCCTTTATAAACTAAACATGAAACTATTTACTTCTAAAACAATTTACTTTATCAAAAACATTTTAGATACACTCTAGTCGTAAAAAATACATATTTGAAATCACTTAGACCTATAACTAATAGAACATCTAAACAAATAAACAATGTGCGAATAAATGCGCGAAGTTAACAAAGCAACAATTGAAAGATTACCATTGGGTAACATCACCTTTATTTTTTATTACGGCTGAAATTCTTTGGGGCATAGTGTTAACCAAGTTTTGGCAAAAATTTGGTGTAAAACAATCCCATATTTCTTGAAGCTTTTGTCTCAGTTCGGTGATTGTACGAGCAGGATGTTGTGTTTCATCTCTTGCCACAAAGTTTCAATAGGTGACAGATCTGGACTGCTAGAAACCCATTTCAAAAGTGGCACATTATTTGCGTCCATCCATTTTATAGCCTTTTTTGAGGTATGGCACGCTGCACCATCTTGCTGAAACACAAAATCTTGGACGGATGTCAAACATTCTTCCATCACTGGTAAAAGCGATTCTTCTAAAATTGCCAAATATTTGTTTGTATAAACATTTCCATCAATAAAATGAAGTTGTCCTACTCCTTTTGATGAATAACTCTACTGCGACTGTCACCAACACAAACTTCGAATCGGGCCTCATCACTCCATTGTACTGCACACAATTGTTGAGGTGTCCGTTGTCTATGTTCTTTAGCCCATCTAAGCCGAGTTTTCTTTTGCAGTGGAGTTGATAGTGGCTTTTCTTTGGCCTATAAACAAGTTGTGCAACTTTAAGGTTTTTTCTTCACTTTTTTTTATAAGAAAACTTACCTTGCAAGTGCTAAATCCCAGTTTGTGGGCCTCTCTATGAGTTGTGGACTTCGAAATTCTCCTTCCAACAGCGTCACTCCACAGAGCACTTAATTGTAAATAATTGGCACGCCTGTTTTTCACTATTATTCTTCTTAATGCTCTTCGGACGGCATTTGTGATATTACTTTTTTTCACAAATCGTAACCGAATTTTCTCACTAATAACCTCCTCTACCCATTTTGAAAACCTTAACTACCCAAAACTATTTTAAACGTATTCTGACAGGTGTGATTAATAAAAACATTTTTGGAAATTGGGCAAGCGGTACAAGAACATCCCTGTCAGAAAGAACATGATCACACAGTGGACGCCAACGGAGGCAAAAGAGGCAGGTTTTGCAACAGAAAAAGCAAAAATAACTAATCATTCGCTGCGTGCAACAGCTATCTCTAACTTAGCAAAGAAAGGGGTTGAAGAGACTACGTTAATAAAAATGACTGCACATTCAAATCCGAAATCCATAAAGTCATATCTCCAACTGGACTAGGAACACCATTCAACCATAGTAGAAAAAATGAGACATAATAATACTGCTAACCATAATAAAGCAACTAATGAAACTAACGTTCCTGCAATAAGTTCTTTAAGTTATAATTCAATAGAAAATACTAATTCTTACAACTGTATTTTCAACTGCAATTCATGCAATTTTTAGTTTCGATAAGTTCTGTCTCAAAATAAACCTGGTAACTATCCAATCAAGTATGTTGTCACTAAAAAACCGCATTCGGTTATTTTCATATTTTGCTAAAAGAGCCCTCCTAAGCTCATGCAGTTTTTAGAAAACATGCTTTCATGAAAAATTATCGGTAATTTTGATGCACTTGTGTAATTACTTCGAGAATGTTTGCGACGTCTGTGACATAGAATATTTTATTGTTCATACGAGCCCCTTCCCACTTCAGTTGGCCCAACTATTGAAATCTTCATCAAACACAAATAATAAAAATGTAGCAGGGTGTTATAGGTTTAAAATATTAACAATGAATATTTTGATAATATATAGTAGAAAACACCAACTTTTTCACTCCCTAATCAAATTTGCAGCATAAAAATAACACAGAAGATCAAGGCCCACAGAACCTACTTACAAAACCCCACTGTAGAGAATAGACAAGCCGACGTCGAGTCCAGAAACAAATATAACGAAGCGGTTCGCAATGCCAAAAACCAGCATGATATAAAAGTTAGGCACAGGGTAATGTCGCAGCGCAATGGCAGTCGGTCTTTCTGGACGCTGGCCAAGCAGATTGAAAAGAACTTCTCACACAGTAGCCTTCCACCACTTACGTGTCAGGATGGAACTATTGTATTCGACTCAAAGGCCAAGGCGGAAGTGCTAGCCAAGATCTTTGCTGCCAACTCCACCATGGACGTCCCCACCAACGCCCAAGTGCCGTCAATTCAAAGGGTTCCCCACACTATGCGGGAAGTAACATTCAGGCATAAGACCGTAAGACGAGTGCTCTTGTCGCTCGACATCAACAAAGCTTCTGGTCCGGACTTGATTCCTGCCATTGTACTGAAGAGATGTGCAGCGGAGCTTGCTCCAGTTCTTTCGCGTCTCTTCCAGATATCTTATGAATCCGGCACCTTCCCAGAAAACTGGAAATTTGCTCATGTACAGCCCATCCCAAAAAAATGATCTAAAACCGACCCTTACAACTACAGGCCTATAGCTCTGCTTTCTGTTATAAGTAAAGTGATGGAGAGGTGCATAAATCGCGAGCTTCTGGACTACCTCGAACGTCACAGCTTGATTAGCGACAGGCAGTACGGTTTCCGGCACCAACGATCCACAGGGGACCTCCTAGCTTACGTCACGCAACTTTGGAGTAAACTCATCCAGTCTCATGGTGAGGCTCATGTCGTTGCTCTTGACATCACGAAAGCGTTCGATCAGCTGTGGCACGCTGCCCTCTTAAGCAAACTTCCATCCTACGGCCTCCCAGAAAAGCTTTGCAGATGGGTGGCTGACTTTATCTCTGGCCACAAGATATCCGTCGTAATTGACGGATTCTCCTCTTCATCCCACAACGTCAACGCGGGTGTTCCCCAGGGATCGGTCTTGGCTCCAACACTGTTTCTCTTACATATCAACGACCTCCTTTCCTGCACGATCAACCCAATCCACAGCTTCGCTGATGACAGCACTCTACATGCAGGAATTCAGAGTGACAAGCCGATCTCTGCCGCTGAGCTGGAAAAAAGAAGACTAGTGACGACTTCTTCTCTGACAAGAGACCTGGAGGCTATCACTGCTTGGGGACGCAACAATCTTGTACAGTTCAATGCTTCCAAAACACAGTACTGTACCTTGACGAACAAAAAGCGTCCTAGCGCTCATACAGTTTCGATGGACGGTCGAGTTCTACCAAAGAGCCATTCATTTCGGCTGGTCGGAGTCCAGATCACCGAGGACCTGATCTGGCACGAACACATCTCTTCAATAGCTGCAGCTGCTGGGAAAAAGCTAG